TGCAGTGCTTCATGTAGTTAGAGGGCCCTTCACTACTGGAAAGAAAGTCAACAGAATTTATGAGTTCTTGTTATCTGCAATAGGCAAGTGTTTTTAAAATTTACTGGCCCACTGAACTCAACCAGAGTTTAATGTTGAAATAAAACTGTGGGTCTTTGTCTCATTTGCCTCATCAGCAAAATGAGAAGTTGTAAAAATGCCAGGTTAGCTATGAAGCTGCTTAGTAGTAAGTATTAAACAGAAAAAATGTAGGGAGAATGGTCTAAGTTCCTTATTTAAGCAAAGTTTGTATAGCATCTAAATAAAACCTGATTTATTGACTGAATGCTGGTGTTAAAAAAGAAAAGTTTAAATGCTTGCTGTGATGAACACAATCCTGGCCATGCAGTAAAAATAATACACATTGTCTATAAGCAAGTAACCATCACCTGTATTGCATGTTGCCAATTGTATGTATTCACAAATAAAGGTGTTGCTCCTGTTGCAGAGCCATTTTGATCCTAGCACAATAGCTGAAGCTTGCTAACAGAGTCGTGACTGCTTCTTGGTTTGTGCAGGCGTTTGGATTCGAATGCTCTTCACTGCGACTGTGAAATCCTGTGGCTGGCCGAGCTGTTGAAGACGTATGCAGAGTCAGGTAATGCTCAAGCAGCAGCTACCTGTGAGTATCCACGGAGGATCCAGGGAAGATCAGTGGCCACAATTACACCAGAAGAACTGAACTGTGGTGAGTTTGCCATTTCCTGATGGCTTCTTTATTGTGTTACATATACCAAGACTGTTTGGGATGTTTTGTTGGAATTTATTGTTCTGTTGGCTTTGATAACACTGATTAGCTCTGGCTAATACTGGTTATTTTCAGAAATCATCCTGTGTTCCCACTCTGGTTTTGTCTGCTTTTGGCAGAATTGATTGCTTTTACCCCTCAGCCTAACTTTAATTAAACAAATATAGCCACGTTTGAAATTCCTCCTTGAGGAACCTAAGCATAATTACGCTGAAGGAGTTTATTTTTCCTTTTTATATTTCAATTTTGATCCTAACAAGATTGTCAACCAGTGTCTTTGGTGTTGTTTTAATGTTGTTTGGTGTCCTTTATTCCCTTCTATACAGGGGAAAAGAAGGAAAGAAGCTTTACTGAGTTGGTCCGGATGACACAGTTCTTGCTCTTAAAATTTTTGTTCATATTATTGGAATCAGGGTTAGAACAGTGAATTTCTTTTTCACTCAGCTGTAGTTACAAGGAGTGCCCCACACAGGCACTGAAATCCTCTGTCACTGAGGATTATTAGATAATCACTTTTATCATCTTTTTGTTTGTCTGTATTCCTTCAGCCTAGAGGTGCTAAAGCTTGGCCCCATGGGAATTCTGGGTCTCAGCCCAGCACCTCTTGTGTTCTGAAATCAAAATGCAAATTTCTCATCAAGATACAGGCATTTGTCTGCCCAGCTATATAATGAAGACAAGGTATAAAAAAAGTAAATTGTCCTTTTGGTTATGTGTTAGATATAATTCTGGTCATGAGAATTACAACCGTAAGCATCTACAGGGTTCTTGGAAACGATGGTACAAAGGGGATTTGGTGCAAGAATAATTCACATCACATCCTACCAGCTCTCTGCACATCTAAAGAGCCTGAGTATGGAAACTGCAGGAAAAAGCTATAAAAATTATTCTGTTGAAGGCAGGTTAGGCACTGATATTTATCTAGAGGAAGTTATTTTAAATGGCACTTGCTGCTTTAAACTTTTTCCTTTATAAGCAAATTGAGTCTCTGTTCAAATAAATAAAACAGCCGCTTTAGAACCTGATACAAATTTGCACAATCCATTTCCAGTCTGCTAAAAGGACCTAAGGAACAATGGAGGAGGTCAGAAATCCCACAGTAACTTTTGCATAGAGAAAAATGCATTTAATCCTGCTTAAACATATAAATACTGTAAGTTAAAACATTTGTGAAAACTATTTTTATAAGGTGTCTGGAAAATTTTTTTTATTTACTGTTTTTTACTAGTTTTAAAACAAGTAAAGTTTCCTTGTATGTTTTATTGTTGATACAGAGAGGCCAAGAATTACATCAGAGCCTCAGGATGTGGATGTTACCTCAGGGAATACCGTGTACTTCACTTGCAGAGCTGAAGGCAATCCTAAGCCAGAAATTATCTGGCTTCGAAACAAGTAAGTTTAAAAGAGGAAGAGAGAAACTTGATGTAAGTATGTTTGCCTCTGTGTGTATACATCTCTAGGTGCTTGTCCACATTCTGTATGTGCTAATATATGGAACAGTTACAGCAGAAACATTATAATTAAAGTAAGCATATGAAGTGATAATAACCCATATATGTTTTATTAAACACCTAAGAGTTTATAAGTTTAGAAAATATTATTTTATTACTCTAACACTATTGGTAAGATGTTTAACTGTAGGTATACCTGCAAAGTTACTGACACCTGTAGTATTACATCATTTATATGTATGTACCAGGCAGTCCTATGTGGACATGTTGCATATACAGTCTTAGGTTTACTTGGTGTTTGCATATGTTCTGAGGCCCAGCAAAAGCTACATTTTTGAAGGACTCTAGCTGGAGTTGAGTTTCAGAGAAGGTATTCCTTGAGCAGCTCCTTGGAGGCAGCTTTTCTCCAAGGTGTAGCTCGATTCCAGGAGAGGAATATCAATATATCAATATCAGTTTCCAGGCTCCTCAGACTGGTACATGGAGGGCAGGCAAGTACTTACATCATAGGATTGTAGGGTAATTCAGGTTGGAGAAGGTCTCCAGTATAGCCTCCTGCTCAAAGCAGGATTATTCTAGGTTGCTTTATCCAAATGGGTCATAAAAGTCTCTAAGGATGGTGGTAGCACAAGCTGCCTGGGCAGCCTGCTCCATTGCTTTCCTCTCCAGTTATGGGGTGGAGGGAATGGTCTGTAAAGAAGACTGTGTTTCAGCAGTCCAAGGGCCATCCTGCTGCAGAATGGCTGCTCAGGCTCTGTCCAGTGCCTGGCTGCCTCCAGCAGTGCTGGGCACAGCACAGCTGAGCCAGCCACGTGGCGGCACTCTCTGCCTCAAGCTGGTGTGAATTTACAATGGACACATGAATTGTGAGTTTACCACTAGCTAATCAGACTTTGGCATAATAATGCTCTTACATAAGCGGAGAACTGGATCTGGAACATAAATTCCCTCACATTTTATATAAACCATTTTAATTTGTTAGTTGCTGATAAAATGGAATGATGTAGAGTCATGATTCTGTACCTTTCTGCTGATGTCAGTGAGAACCCCACATGCAGCAAAGGTACTGCATTTATGGAGCATGTCAAGAACAGAACTTTGGATGGTATAAGTATTTAATTAAAATTTTAATTGGTTTGTGTACTTTTTATAAAGAACAAAGAAAACAAGTATTCAGAATACACATGCGAAAGTTTTAAGAAGAAATTTGAGCTTAGAGTGTGGGATTATTGACTCTGGCTTGTTTCCTGACTGCATGAATGAGACCAAAGCTTTTTGCAAGGTAGTTGAATATGGCAGGATCTCTGTCAAAAGGTATCAACCACTCAAGCAGTATGTTGAATAGATAAGTAGGCTGGGTTTTGTCCTTGGGAGATGACATCTCATCCCTTCTCTGTCCTTTCTTCATCATGTAGTGAGGGGTGAAGTGAGAAACAGTTCCTTTAATAAAAATCCCTAAGGCTTCTTAGTTAACATCACAGAAATGCATCCATGACATAACTTGAAGATCCGATGTTAACTTATATTTTCAATCAGTACAAATTATTATCAGGTTCATGAGTGCTTCTTGAGCAATCCAGGCACAGGTTGGCACAAAGATGGTTTGATAGCAACTAGCCACCCTCCTAGTAGAAGGTATCTTGAGTGTTGCACTTACATGATACACTTTCAGGAAACAGTTTAAATTGTTTTGCCAGTTGGAACAGCCTTAAAGAAAAATAAGACCAGGTTTGCACATTTTGTTCACTTTTTTCCCTGCAAGCTTTTACTCATAAAGTATTTTGGGTTTTTGCTTTTGAAGATGTAATACTTGCATAAGCAAAATTGGTTCATTTTTTGTTTTGCCTCTTCTTCTCTTTAGGAGAAAATTTAAGGTTCTATTCTTCGACTTAACAAAGTAAAGGTTTTTCCCCCTTCAGTTATTTTGAGTTGGATTTTATTATTTGACAATTTTCTGTGCTTGTGATTTAAAGGTTTAACTCCAGCAGATTCTTTTCTTCACAGTAATGAGCTCAGTATGAAAGAAGATTCCCGTCTAAACTTGCTAGATGATGGCACGTTGATGATTCAGAATACTCAAGAAACAGACCAAGGCATTTACCAGTGCATGGCAAAAAATGTGGCTGGGGAAGTGAAAACTCAGGAAGTTACTCTTAGATACTTTGAGTCACCAGGTAAAGAACATGAGTTTTTCATTTAGATAGAGAATGGGTTTGATAATTAAGATTTCTGAAAAATAAGATGCTTTGGCTCTTGCATGTTCCTGACATGTAGATGTGTGCTACTTGGGCGTCTTAAAAACTATATCATGAAGCTGTAATACTCCTAGAACAAAAATGCAAAACAGCTGGTTAATTAATATGTTTATTGCAGTATGCAGTTTTGATGATAGTCTTATAGGCTGTCGAAGGGTTAGGAAAAAGGGCTGTTGCATTGCAAAATTGCTCAATGCAATAATGTTCTGTCTGGATACCTGAAAACCACAAGCTTATGAACAGGCCACTCATGGAAGCTGTGGCACACCCTATGCAGCCATCCTTGCTCAAGAGGTTTTTAGCTCTGTCTAGCCAAGGCCTCATGTTTGCAAGTACTAAATTCCTGTCCAGGACTGTAATGTTTTTAAAACTCAAACTTTGCTGTGAGGACATTTTGTTTTGACACAAAGCATCAGGTAAACTTAAAATGTCACTGCAAAGCATGCATGTACTTGGGAGAAGGTACCAAAATGTCACTTAATCAGTTTTGTCTTTTTGTGCACTTACAGCAATTATTAACCAGTTTGTTTTTCTAGGTCTCAGTGTCTATGTCTCTGAAGAGATCCTTATAAAGATCAGCATGGAGAGCAAAATGTTAAAAAATTGTTTTAATGGGAGTTAAGATACAACATCAGTGCAATTATGAGCTTTTGTTTTTTATTTGTTGATGTTTCTTAATGTTAGTTAGATTAGACTTAAGGCAAGGCAGAGTTGGCACCAAGTTTGGAAGTATGTTGGAACAGAGCTATTAAAAAAAAAACCCTAGATGCCCCAAACTATTGCAATACTTGGCTAAATTATTTCTGTGCAAGTTGAAAGTCATATTTAGGTATTGCTGTTTTCTTACAGCCCGACCAAGTTTTGTGATTCATCCACAAAATACTGAAGTGCTGGTTGGAGAGAGTGTTACCTTGGAGTGCAGTGCAACTGGGCACCCTCAGCCACGAATTACCTGGACCAAAGGCGACAGAACTCCTTTACCAAATGACCCTCGCATCACCATAACTCCATCAGGAGGACTTTACATACAAAATGTAAAGCAGGAGGACAGTGGCGAGTATACCTGTTTTGCAACTAACAGCATAGATAATATTCATGCAACTGCGTACATCATAGTCCAAGGTAAGTAACATTAAACTGGGAATGACGTATTACTTGAAATTGTGTGGTTTTGTGGTTTTTTTCTGAATTGTCAGAGCCAAACTAAAATTGTAAGAGGTTTTACTTTTAATTACGCTGTTGTAGTGCATAGGGAAGTTGCTATACATTTCATGCAGAGTAAGATATTATATACTGTTTCTCTGAAAGCTGTTTCATTGATTATTCTCAGAAGTTTGATTTTTGAAATGCTTATTTCTTTTTATGTTCTGAACAAACAAGCAGTGTCAATTTTTTAACAAATTAAATATTTTCATTAACAGGCAGCAGTTCAAGAGATTAGAATTTCTGCCGGGAGTACGAGAAACGGAGTTTTGAATACAGATCTGTGCTGCTTTTCTTTTGTAGACACTTCAGTGAATGCAGGAACATTTTTCTTTTGAATTTGACAGAAACTATCACTTTCCCAGCTGAGCCATTAGCATAGCTTTTCTGCAAAGCAAAAGTTGAAGTACTCTTGCAATAATTTTGGTATTGTATGTTAATAGTGTGATTATAAAATATTTGAGAGCAATCTATCAAAAGTTTCTATATATATATATAATTTTTTTGCAAATATTTTGATGCTGGAACTTATATTTGCAAAATATTTTGGGTGACCATTAAGTCTGCTTCTGCTTTCATGTTAAAATAGCTGTTTAAAGGAGTTTAGACTGTAAAAGCCTTGTTAGTGAGCTCAAAAGCCATACAAAACAATTTGTCGATGTGGTTTGTGCATATATTATTCACCAATGGATCGTTGTGTTTTGAGAGCTGAAAAAATCACTTCTCACACTGGTGTAGTGCACAGTGTTATTGCAAAAACTGGCCCACAGTCTGCTCACTGCTTTCCTGCAGTGTACAGAAGAAAACAAGTGGCTCAAGATGGTTTTTATTACATTGCATTTTCTTCACAATTTAGCTGAGGAGTTTTGAGAGAAAGAGAAGGCATTTTTAATCCGGGAAACACTGTGTTTGATTCTACAAGTCTTACTGTACCTCTAGTTTTGGATCTGTGAATAGAGATCCCACAGGCCTTCATGTATGCCCGGGCCAGGTCGTGAGAGAGATGTTCCTGTTGCACAAGTGATTGCCCTAACTCTCTGCTCTGTAACAGTCACAGTATAAGAGATTCCTGTTTGCATCTCTCTTCCCACCAATATGAGCTATTCAACTCACACAGGAAATGGTACTTTCAGACAGTCTTGCATTTTTCAGTTGTTGTTTTGTTGGGTTTTTTTGTAAACCAGCTTTTATTTTCTTTTCTGTAGCTCTACCTCAGTTTACTGTCACTCCTCAAGACAAAACAGTGATTGAGGGACAAACTGTTGACTTCCCCTGTGAAGCACAAGGCTATCCCCAGCCTGTTATTGCCTGGACTAAAGGAGGTAAGCGTGTTGCATTCTTACTTTTAAACTACTAGTATAGTTCAGCTGTCATAATGTAATCACTCATGTATTGCAAGGAATTGCATGTATTTGTTTAGATGCTTCAGCCTCTGAAGGAAACAGGGCTCATCTCTTTCTCCTTTAGCTAGGAAAGGTGAGGTCTCCCACAGAAGCTGGCTGCCCAAGCATTTTTCATTATTCAGTAAAATGTCAGTAAAGTATATGTATCGATAATAGATTCCTAATAGTAAATATTTAAGAAATATGAAACAAAGCACATGGAGCAGTGCCTAACACTGCTGGTTTACTGCAGAAGAAATGAGAGATTGCTGTCATTAACTGGAGATGTGAAATTAGGTGGGATATACTCTCTTCAGAAACCACAACAGTCCAGTCTGTAACTGGCATCAGTATACCTGCATCTCTGTCACTTAACGCTCATTGACAGGAACACTGAAGTGCACTCTGATGGCTTTTTATCAAGTTATGACTGTAAAGGTATTAAGCCAAAACCAGCAAGAAGAAGTGTTGTAGTGGATGTTTTATCAGTAAGCAAGTATTCTAGTTGATTCAAATGAAATAGCTCTACCAGGCAAAACAACTCTTAGGAAATTCTAAATTGTAGTAGATAACGCAGATTGTTACCAAACTGTTGATCATTATGATGCTGATAATGCCCTTGTTTCTCCCTCTACTAAGTTTGCTTCAATCAAATGAAAGAAAAGAAGGATAGGGTAGGGAAAATGATGTGTGTTCGTTTTTGTTATATTCAATTTTCAGGGCTGTATGTATTTTTCTGTGGATTCTCTACATGGCCTAGGCACATGAGATGAATTGTGTCTTACTCACACGGCAATAATATGAAATGAGCAGTTACACACATTGGTGTTTTTATGATGCCTTCTCATTTGGATGCCTTCTCATGCTCCTTAAATGAACATATACTTATTTCTACCACAAAGAAGAGACCAGGATTATGACTGTGTGCATATGTATAATTTGTTTGCTTTCTGTGCTTATTTTCTGAGAAGTAAAGGTTTAAAATATAGTGTTTGTTTGGTTTTTTCAGAAACTTTTAATTTTTTCCAAATTTTATCAAATTTAAAATTTCCTGAATTTCCCCTTTTCTGACACAAAGGGACTTTGTTGCTATAAGCAGCAAACGTTGTTATTGTATTTTTCAGGAGGCCAGTTATCTGTTGACAGAAGACACCTAGTTCTGTCCTCCGGAACCCTAAGGATTTCCAGGGTTGCTCTGCATGACCAGGGCCAGTATGAATGCCAAGCTGTCAACATTATCGGGTCTCAACGAATTGTCGTATACTTGACTGTGCAGCCTAGAGGTATGCTCTCCATGTACAGCTGCTGAATGAAAAAAGAGAAATGTTTAAGCTTACATGAAAACAGTACTGTGTGTGATTGTTTCTGAGTATATTTGCATTTAGATGCCAGATGGTTTTTAATAAATACAATGTATGGATATTTACCAGTATTTATAAGGAATGTCATTCCTCTTGAACAGTCCGTCTTCTAGTAAAGAGGTTTATTTAGCCAGTCAGCTGCTCCTCAAAGGACTTAGGCTCCAGAGCCTTCACCAGCTCCATTGCTCTTTTCTGGACATGCTCCAGTACCTCAATGTCCTTTTTGTAGGGAGGAGCCCAAAACTTAACACAGGATTCAAGGTCCGGCGTCACCAGTGCCGAGTACAAGGGGGCAATCACTGCCCTGGTCCTGCTGGCCATACTATTGCTGATACAAGCCAGCATGTCATTGCCCTTCTTGGCCACCTGGGCACACTGCTGGCTCATGTTCAGATGACCGTTGACCAACACTCCCAGGTCCTTTTCCACTGAGCAACTTTCCAGCCACTCTTCCCCAGCCTGTAGCACTGCATGGGGTTGTTGTGATCCAAGTGCAGAACTCAACACTTGGCCTTATTGATCCTCATACCAGTGGCCTCAAACCATCAATCTAGCCTGTCCAGATCCCTCAATAGCACCTTCCCACCCTCCAGCAGATCAACATTCCTGCCCAACTTGATGTTGTCTGCACACTTGTTTAGGGTGCCATTGATCCCCTCATCTAGGTTATTGATAAGGTATTAAACAGAACTGGCCCCAACGTACTGAGCCCTGGGGAAGACCACTTGTGACCAGCTTTTGACTGGATATATCTCCATTCACCATCACTCTCTGGGCCTGACCGTCCAGCCAGTTTGTTACCCACCAAATAATATACTCATCTACACCGTGGGAAGCCAGTTTCTCCAGAAGAAAGGAAGTTAATCTCAGAGACAAATTTAAGCAACTCAAATTTGCAGATAGAATAACATTATAGATTAAGAAATGTTCAGTAACTGATGAAGTGCTGACCTCTTTTTAGATCATGTTTTGCACAAGTTTTATTTCATACTTTATCAACATACCATTTGGGTTTTTTTAGTGACTCCTGTATTTGCCAGTGTTCCCAGTGACATGACAGTGGAGGTTGGCACAAACGTGCAGATCCCGTGCAGTGCTCAGGGAGAGCCAGAGCCAGTCATTACATGGAATAAGGTACTAGATATTTGGTTATTGCAGAAGGGCAGTGGTCTTTTCATCTCTTCATAATTAGCTATGTAAAGTGCACTTCGTCAAATTATTGCTTGCTCTGATGTCTGAAAACATTACCTGAAGTTCAATTACTAAATCTTTAATATAGACCATGTATATAGATACTAAACCTGAATTTTATGTAGATAAATATTTATATAGTTATGCAAATCATTATTCAAACCAGCTAAAATTCCTAATATGTGCCTTAAAAGGTCTGTGTATTTTAGTGACAGTTCTGTGTGAATAACCTATTAATAGTCACGCTTTCAATAATAATATAGGTATAAAATAATAAAAAATGCTGTATTACTTAGCCATTTGACACTGTTAGGTTGACACTTCGACTAGGACAGGCTTTGATAACTTGGTAACCTCTCTGTGACTTTGATTTCCATTGGTGTAATAATTGTTGTATCAAACCATAGAGTTACTAGCACAGTTACCAGTGAATTAATGAGTTTCTAATATTGATCTTCGATTTTCCTAATTATTTTCTCTTCAATTAGTGAGCATTAGAAAATGTTCTTTAATGAACCCTAAATAGGTTCTAAATGCATAGCACATGAAGAAATGATACATATAAAGCTCTTGAGATCTATTTCAGTTGGTTAATTTTGAGTAAAATCAAATACATGTGTTCTCAAGATGTACTGGCTTATTTTTGGGTCATAGATTTTATGTGCTGAGAGCCTATAACTATTAAAATACTTTGATTTTTAATAATGAATGCTTTTTAAAGTAAAGAAATGCTCTGTATAATGTAGAAGTGCATATTTTTTTTCTATATAAGCTTATCTAAATCTATCTGACTGTGATCTTGGAATACCAAATAGAAATGTAAAATAAAAAGTAAAAATAGAACAGAAAAAGATGGCAAAAATTCAGGTATGAAAACAAAAGTGTGTTTAGAATAACTATACTTTGT